CAAATGAGATTATCCAATCAAGATGATATTTTGCCAACAAGTAATAGAGATGTGACCAGAAGATCGTGAGTGGTTGGGCAGTGTTCTACGATGTTAGGGATAATCTGTGAAATATAATGTCAATGATACGAATTAACGGGTGTGGCATAAGAAATTGCCGATTTTTGATAGATTATTTTCTCCAGTTAAGTTGGCTCAGAAAGTTTCGTTCTGATGTTAAAAGATAGAAAATTTTGCGTAGATTTTATTGATATGTTCCTTTCAGAATGAGCATTTGTTCTTTTCCTGAGGCATTAAAGGTACTGTATATCACAAAAACATATTTTGCTAAACTGTAAAATGAGACACTTTTGAACAGAAATAGTTGTCCAGTTGATTTTAGTTCAAAAATTTCTTCTTAGTGGTAAGAGATATAAAATTTTTCGGTGTATCTACTGTTATGTTGGTTTTTATATGCTAAGCTGTTTCTACTTAAAATAAAAACACAAAACACTAAAAAAAAATGTATGCACAGCCAACAGAATCATACGTTTCGTTGCCAATATTTTGAAAAATTGATTTTATAAAAAAATAGTATTCTTTTTATATCAATAGATGAAGAATTTCAAGCTCTACAAAATGCTCTTTATCATAAGAACTGAATTGCATTTGTAATTTAGTGATGAAGCTAAGATCTTTTCCTTGACAAAAAGGTGCCAAAAATGAACAAATAGATCTTTTTTTTTTGCAAGTGGCTTTTAAAAAGAAAAAATATTTACCAGAGAATTTGGTGTTGTGTCTCAAAAACAAATATGTTTCTACGTTTTTTTCATACTGGGTTTGAATAGCATCGATGAAATTATTTAACGAAGAAAAATGACATTTTATTCTAGTAAAATATTGAGCAAATTATGTTTTTGTGATAGCCAGCACTTTTAGCATTACAAGAACAGAACAAAAGATCATTTTAAATGGAACATATCCATAAAACCTAAGCAAAATTCTCTATCTTTTAACAGCACAACGAAGTTTTCTGATCGAGCATAAGTTGAGAAAACAGCCTGTCAAATATCGGCAATTTCCTCTACCGTACCCATTATTATGTTTTTCTTTATTCCATTGATAGGATGGCAGTCGATGTAGCCCATTCTTGATTGCGCCAGTACATTGAGAAAAGAAACATTAATGTTGTTTAATGTATACAATGATGTAATTTTTGTTCCGATCATACTTTTGAAACTTTCCTATTGTTGGAATGTTTGAATAGGATGAAAGTTTTAGTTTAGTAGAACCTATTCATGAAAAGTATGTCCATATACAACTAGAGAATTTTTTTTTTTTTTATTTCGCAACTCATTTTGATATATCCTACTCATTCTTTCGACAAGTCGTAACAAAGTGAGGCGCATTCATCCTTTTCTCCATTGTTTTCAATATAAATCGACCAAAGCAATTGTGACGTGCAAAAAAGATTCGAATTAATCGATGACGAAATGCTTCGCTCTGCATTAGAGTACTGCGCGGGTTTGACTTTTAGCACCCGCACCCGACCCGAAGGCCTCTAGTGGGACCCGAGCCCGACCCGACTCGACAAGGTTCTACCCGAGCCCGACCCGACCCGACAAGGTTCAACCCGAGCCCGACCCGACCCGACAAGATTCAACCCGAGCCCGACCCGACCCGCCGATAGTCGAACCCGAACCCGACCCGACTCGAGAAACTAAATTCGCTTATTTCCAAAAGATAAACAACTTTATTTTAATGTTAACCACAAAAAATAACAAAAAACTTTAATGTATATTGTAAATAGTTATAATCAACACTGAAGACAATAGGTATCATACAAATATACACAGCATAATTTAAATTTATACAAAAACAAATTAAAAGTTTCTTAAAAAAAGAAGTGAATCGAGTGATTCAGGTGATAGTTGTTGACGTCGAGCTTCAAGAATGCGCCCTGTTCGACTAAAGATTCGTTCAGACGCAGCAGAACTTGCAGGTATTGCCAAAAGAGAACATGCCAATAAAGATAACCTAAAGAGAATCAAGTTTTATACTAGTTCGGTGTACTTCTCATGTAGACATATGGACATATGTTATAGTAATAAGGCAACTTACTTCTTATATATAATAGAATGATTTTGCCACCATCTTAAGAGGGATTCTCCTTTAGGATACGATATTTTTGCTTTAATATAATGAGCTACTTCATCCTGAGATTCATTATCATCGTCGTCCGATGATGAGCTTATAGATCCATTAAAAGACTTTAGAACATCGTGTACGGTGTCAATTTTAATACGTTTTTTATTTTTTGTAGAACTATTGTTGGTGTGTTCGTGAAGTATTTCTTCATCAACTTGTTTGCCTATACCAAGAGTTTTCAAAAGAGTTCGCACCTTCTTGATAACATCATTTCGTTCTGATTTTGTCAGACTCTAAAAATTTATTATACTAAATGTAATTGGATCAAATCTGAACTTACCAAAAGAGATTTTGTTTCGGGACATAAAAAAGTTGCAATATAATGAAGATCACTTAACCATAATTTCTCATCTAATTTTTCTCGTAATGCACGTTTGACTTGTTTGATTGTTTCAGTATCTGAATCCTTTATTTCACATGTTTGCTTGAATCTTTTCACGAAAGGAAGAACCAAATGCAATGTTGGTTCATTCTCTGCTGATAATATCTCACTGCCAGTTTTAAATGGTTCAAGTAAAACTATAAGATCACGAATAAGATTAATACCAATATCATCGGTATAATATTCTTCTTTCCGTTCAGCAAGAATATAAATAACTTGAGTAAAAACTTTATCAATGGAGTTGAGCATTTCCAAAACACTGTTCCATCTTGTATCAACATCTTTTTTAAGAGAATGTGTTAATTTATTCTGCAACTCACATTTCTTAAAATGAGTAACTAAATTTTCACAAGAAATAATCATATTTGCTATCTGATCACTAGCCGGAATACTTTGTTGTATAGCAAGGTTGATACAATGACATACACATCTCAGATGTGCATCGCACTCTAATGCTTTAACCATGTTAGAGCCGCTGTCGGTTACAAACACTATATGATATGCATCAACATCAATGCCATACGTAGTCAACGTGTCATAGATCAATTTCTTGGTGTTTTCTAAAATGAGGGAGAAAAAATATTCCTATCATTCGATTATACAATTGTCTCAAAGTCAATTTAAACAACAACTCTTTACAAATTAAGATATTTTCAAAGAATCGTAGAGCTCTAGCTATTATTGTTTCAAAATAGATACATTTGAGATGCTTATAAAAAACCAAAACTACAGTCCGAACTAACCTCCTGTTTTCGACGATGTTATTTGAATAGTTTTAAGAGCAATTGATCGAATATTTCCATTTAAATGATAATGAAGAGTAATTGTAAGATAAGATTCAGAAGTGTAGGAGTTTTTCCAATAATCACTAGTTACACCAATCATCTTGACATTTTTCAAATGTTCAGCAAGAGTTGAAATGAATTGTTTTCGACATTCTAATAAGAAATACAAGTAGAAAATTGATAAAAAAAAATCGTTCATACCTTCAGCTAATACCTGTACTCTACGTGACACAGTTGTCGGATCCGGAATAATTGTTGTTGCAGCAATTGGTTTATTCATTTTTCTTCCAATATCCAAAAGAGTATTACATAACAATTCAAAACCTTTGCCTGAAACCATCTCATAAGGTCTCATATCATAAGAACACATTTTAGCACACGCATCAATAACGAGTCGTTTAATATCTGAAGGAACATTATCATTTTTTATTAACATACTTTCGATAGAATATGTTGTGGAACTAGATTCAAATTTACAAGAAGATGCATGATTTTTAAGTGTACTTGAGCCAGTATTTTTCGGTTCATAAGCTAATAACTTCTTGCACCGTACACATTGTACATAATTAATGATTTCATTATCTTTACCTTTACTACGATTAAAATTGTTCCACCAAATAGCATGTGATTGTGGTTTATCACATAACGTATATTCACCACTTTGAAGCAATTTCCGAATCTTTTCTTTTGGATCCATTTGAAAAGATAAAAATAATAACGAAAGTATGACTATAACAAAGTATTAGTTGTTTATAAATACAAAGAAAGTTCACATCCATATACGTGTATATATGTATCTATTGTTTGTAGTCATAAACCAATAGAATTATATTTCATTGTTCTTTGTATTTAACGTATACAATAATAGAGGGCAGAGGCATCTATCACGAAAAAAATGTAACCCGAAAAAAATCCGAAATTTTCAACATCAAACCCGCACCCGATCCGACCCGCAGCTAATCGAACCCGTGCCCGACCCGACCCGACAGGATTGAATCCGCACCCGACCCGACCCGACAGGGTTGAACCCGCACCCGTCCGCGGGTGCGGGTCGGGTGCGGGTTCGGGTCGGGCCGGGTCGGGTTGCAGTACTCTACTCTGCATTGAAAGTGGATGAGGAGCACTTCAAAGAAGCACTTTATTCGGAAGAGAAACGAATGTCTACCACTTCGAATACATTAATAATACGGCACACATTATTTATTTCCAACTTGCATGACGTCGTGTGGACTGAACTTTTTCTTGATCACTATAGAAAATAAATCCATGGCCGTTTTGCTTACCTTCTCCGCAAAACGAACGAATTCTGTTTCTTTTTCTTTGTTTTGCTTCACCATGAGGATTGACTTGTTGATGCATATACATAATAGAGAAAGCAAACTTGATGTATTGTGCGTAAAAGAAATGCTTAGAACATTGCATCATTTAACCAATAAACCTATGTTCAGAAAGAAGTTACCGACCTAAATTTCATTCATCTTCAAGAATTTAATCTAAAACATGTCTTAAAATGTAAGGATAAAGACGATATTTTATCGATTCATAAAGAACTATCAGAACTTTGTTGAATTGATAATAAATGCAATTTCATGCAAAATTGAAAAGTTATGCATCGTTGTTTTAAAATATCATCAATGATCTTTGCAATCAGAACTAGATCTTGAGACTCAAATCAAATGATCACATTGAATGGTGAAATTTAGAAGGAAATGAAAATCATCATTTAGTGAGCTTAGTCAATTATATTTTCAATTCCAATCATTTAAATATTTCACATTTTTTTAGCGTCTTATAAGACTATTTAATTCGAAAGCTTAATTTTATATGCTATGAAGCGAAGTTCAAATTTCAAACTCTGAAAGCGATATAAAACACCTTCTGATATAAAAATGAAAGTCATTTGTATAAATTCATCATTGAACATTTAATGAATATGAAATTCGACTATATTATTAATTACTTAATAAGCTGCAGTACAACTATTGTAAAAAGTCAGCCATAATCTACTTCCGACTGCTCGTGAACTTTATGAATATTTATTCTCCACATTACTCTTGTCTCGTTCTTTCTTCTTATCACATTTGACTTTTTCTTTCTATGAGTAATATATATCTGCGCACACTAATGTCAACAAATGGTCTTCACTTTTAAAGTAATATCACTTTTATCTTATCTCAGAAATTTTTTTCAACCTAAAAGAAAAAATGAAGAAAGACAATGTTGTTTTTATTGACTTCACATATAAAGGCTTGCAGTAATTCAAATTGAAAACAAAAAAAACATCTGAAACCTCGAAAAACTTTCCAATCTTAACGTCGTATATTCATCACAAGTGAGTGTAACTTCATCACGATCAACAAAGGAATTCATCATATTCTATAATAATGCTTCGATTCACTAACGTCGATCATAAACCAACACGACTTCCACCTGTCTATGGATATCGCACTCATCCGCTTCTTCCACTTCGACAAGCTCTTGATCCTATTGTCTCTAAAATAGATCAATTAGATGAATTTATTAAAATTGCAAAGAGTGAATGCCATTTTCCTTCAGAACATGGTCTTACTCGTGAAGAATCAGCGTCAATTTATCTATATACTATGGATTGGGGTGAACAAAGTCTCTATCGAATACTCAATGGAGTTCTTCGTGAGAAAGATCGATCTGTATTAATACCATGGCATGGTTATCTCAGATTATTTGATACTGCATTAAAAAAACTACCTAGTCTTCAAATCAACTTATGGCGTGGTATCAATGATGACATTAGTAAAAATTACAAAGAAAACGATGAGCTAACTTGGTGGTGTTTTAGCTCGTGTTCATCTTCAATTAAAGTCGTCAAACAGTTTCTTGGATCCATATCAACATTGTTCATGATTGAAGTAAAGAATGGAAAATCTATATCAGTATATAGTAATTTTCCAGAAGAAAATGAAGTTATTATTCCACTGGGTACTCGACTTCGTGTTGTCAGTGATGCATTAGATCATGCATCATTAAACGTGATACACTTGCGCGAATTGGTCGATGAAAATGATCAAGAATTAACATCATCCTTTGCAAATATGGGTGTCACTACATCAATCAAACCTCAAATGGGTGAGTAGCTACTTTATAATAGGTTAAGTAGACAATAATTGTTACTTCCTAGATTACAAAGAAACATTGCCAAATAACGAATCCTCGACATTTAAAATCTGGGCTGACGAAAATGGAAACAAATATGATATCACAGTTCGCATATCATATGACGGCAAATTTCGTTATTCAATGTTGATGAATGTTTGTCAAATCTTTTACATTATAACAGAACAACGACTAAGGAGCATGGAAGAACGGGAAAAAACACGGAAAAGGCACGTATTTTTTTGCCAGTGGGGAGAAGTATACAGGTGATTGGATCAACGACATGCGAACAGGTCAAGGTGTTTTTACATGGCCCGATGGCGATCGATACGAGAAGGAGTATTCACGAATCTCTTCTCCTGGTCTATTGTGATGTCTATGTATGAGAAATAATAGTTGATACAATGTACGAACAACTGATGGGACAATACAAGGATGGAAAGAGTAACGGAAAAGGCACGTATTATTATGCCAATGGGCAGAAGTATACAGGTGATTGGATCGACGACAAGAGCGCGGGTCAAGGCATTTATACTTGGCCCAACGGCGATCGATACGAGAAGGAGTATTCACAAATGTCCTCGCCTGATCTATTGTAATGGTCTATGTATAAGAAAGAATAGTTGATACTATCTACGAACAACTGATGGGACAATTCAAGGATGACAAGAAGAACGGAAAAGGCACGTTTTACTTTGCGAATGAGCAGACGTATACAGGTGATTGGGTTAATGGCATGCGAACAGGTCAAGGTGTTTTTACTTGGCCCGATGGCAATCGATACGAGTAGGAGTATTCACAAATGTCCTCGTCTGATCTATTGTAATGATCTATGTATAAGAAAGAATAGTTCATACAATCTACGAACAACTGATGGGACAATACAAGGATGACAAGAGGAACGGAAAAGGCACGTATTACTATGCCAGTGAGCAGAAGTATACAGGTGATTGGGTCAACGACAAGAAAGCGGGCCAAGGCGTTTTTACTTGGCCCGATGGCAATCGATACGAGAAGGAGTATTCACAAATCTCTTCTTCTGATCTATTGTGATGGTCTATGTATAAGAAAGAATAGTGGATACAATCTATGAACAATTGATGGGACAGTTTAAGGATGACAAGAAGAGCGGAAAAGGTACGTATTACTATGCCAGTGGGCAGAAGTATACAGGTGATTGGGTCGACGACGAGAACGCGGGTCAAGGAGTTCATACTTGGCCCAATGGCGATCGCTACGAGAATGAGTATTCACAAATGTCCTCGCCTGATCTATTGTAATGGTCTATGTATAAGAAAGAATAGTTGATACAATGTACGAACAACTGATGGGACAATACAAGGATGACAAGAAGAACGGAAAAGGCACGTTTTACTTTGCCAATGGGAACAAGTATACAGGTGATTGGATCGACGACATACGAACAGGTCAATGTGTTTTTACATGGGCCAATGGCAATCGATACGAGAAGGAGTATTCACAAATGTCCTCCTCTCATCTATTGTAATGGTCTATGTAAAAGAAAGAATAGTTGATACAATCTACGAACAACTGATGGGACAATACGAGGATGACAAGATGAACGGAAAAGGCACGCTTTACTTTGCCAGTGGGAGCAAGTATACAGGTGATTGGGTCGACGACATACGAACAGGTCAAGGTGTTTTTACATGGGCCAATGGCGATCGATACGAGAAGGAGTTTTCACAAATGTCTTCGCCTGATCTAATGTAATGGTCTATGTATAAGAAAGAATAGTTGATACAATCTATGAACAACTGATGGGACAAGTCAAGGATGACAAGAAGAACGTAAAAGGCACGTTTTACTATGCCAGTGGGGACAAGTATACAGGTGATTGGATCAATGACATGCAAACAGGTCAAGGTGTTTATACTTGGCCAAATGGCGATCGATACGAGAAGGAGTATTCGCAAATGTCCTCGCTTGATCTTTTGTAATGGTCTATGTATAAGAAAGAATAGTTGATACAATCTACGAACAACTGATGGGACAATTCAAGGATGACAAGAAGAACGGAAAAGGCACGTTTTACTATGGCAATGGTAAAGTTAAAACAGGACAATGGTCAAATGATACCTTCATGGGATAATTTTATTTCTATTCTTTTATCACGTAAGATGCATCTCTCAGCGAACCTTAATTATTTGTGTTTAGAATGAACAAAATAAGTAAAAATCAAAAGAGAACGATAAATCAGTTTTATTGTGCATATAGAATTATCAATAAATACAAAAATAATGTTGAAAATTCTAATGAGCTAGATAGTAAAATAACAAGTATTATCATCATGTGTCTAGTAGTTTTTAACAAGCTCTAGAAAGTAGTTGCATTCGAAAACAGAAGAAATACGAAAAAAGTCTGAGCGCATGTCTGCCAAAAGAAAGAAGTCTGATTAATGAGAGTGCGAATATAGAATGGAATGGAGGGGTCTAGGCAAGAGTGACTCAAAAGGAATTTCCTAGCTCGAACTCACTGTTATTAAGCGCACTCCACACCCACACGTACAATCACCTCCAGCTACCTATACCAACACACTCCTAC